CAAATACAACCCTGTGTTCTGACCCAAACCTTGTTCCAAAGAAACAAACACCAAACAGAGGTAAAAGCAAAACCTTTCAATGCTTCTCTGCGAATTCCTTTCATTCACAGTTAAAAGGCTATGAAAACTAATTGCCTCTGTGCAAGGCTGCCAAGAACACTAGATTATGTTGCCAAGAAATATTCAAAACAAAAAATCTCCAAACACAAACCAGCATAGTCCAAACATCCACAGGGCTTGAAGTGCAAGAATTTCTTTGCTTTGTGCAAATAATCTCTCATGCTGGCTTTTATCTCTTAAGGGAGGGGCCATTACCTTGCAGCCTTACTCCCGAGTCACCCATGCTGCTGCAGCTGCTCTTCCCTTTGAGCAGCCCTGAGCGCACGTGCACTGGGCACAGGCTCCTCAGGGATCTCTTCATCACTGCTGCAGCCTCCACAATCTCCGAAGGCAGCACTCCACTCTCCGATAATCCTGGCCCCATCCCTGCATCACACCCAGGCCCCTCATCTGAGTCCTCGCTCTCCAAATCCTCACCCATCCGCATCTGCTGCCGGCAAAACACAACACCCTGATGGGGCCCTCAATGAAATTGAGTTTGACACCCCTGTTTTCATGTAAACAAGACTTGAATATTAGTTTTGGTGATCCAGGATCGGAATCTAATTTGTATATAAAGGAAACTGGCTAGTGTTCAGTAGAGTTGAAGGTAGTAAGAAGAATTAAATGCCTGTGTACTTGTTAGATGAGTCCCAATGAAAAGAAAAGATCCAGGTGTTAGAAGAAATATCTTCAAAATTAACCCCAAGCATAACTTGAAATGTTATACTGTACCTGTTAGGATATAATCTTACTAACAGAAGAAAATGTCAGTAGCTCACAGCTGAATTGTTGGGATCTTGATGTTCTCTGAGCATAGTCGTTTTCTTGCAAACATTTCATTTGGAAGCATTGATCAGTGCAAAGGAGAATAGAATTTGATGGCATTTAGTATCTAGTAACTGGCCCCCACCCAATCTTGTTTCATTTAAAAGTTTTGTGCGGCTGCCCACATTAAAAAAATATAACATTTTTTTTAACATAACACATTGTATAAAATAACAAAATATGCAAATTAGATTGAAACAAATTGAAGTGGGAGTAGCTTTCTCCTTTATAGTGCCTTGATTATGATATTACTTCTCCTTTGCTTATCTTTTTCCGGCTTATCTGGTTGTTGACTGCCAGAGGAGATTTGTTCTAGGCTTTTGATTGTATCTTTTGAATCTACATATATATAAATGCAAAATACCACTCATGCATCATCACAAAATCTCCAGAACCGTAAAGCCTACAAACTTGAAATTTGGCACATATTGTTCCTCTTGGCTTCTAAGTGCTCACTAAGAAAGGATTTTTCGAAATGACCACCAGAGCATTAGTATTTCCTATATTATTATTAACACTGCTCTGGTGCTAAAGAGTTCTACTCCCCTCCCCACCTGAAAAGAAATGTGTTCCAAATGCAAAACACAAGCAGAGGAGTTTCAGTTTCAGTTTTAGTTTCACAGCAGCAACCAGCTTTAGTGCAGAACAGTTGAGCTAAGTCATGTCCAGGCTCCTTGCTGTCTCCTTTTTGCTCACACAGCAAATACTGTTTGAGTTTCCAAACAACCTTCAACTCTCTCACACACTGACAGGATGCTAGCCAGATGAATACCAATGGATGCTGGTAGGCAGAGGCAGAATATTCTTTCCCTTATTTTCCTCCCCAAAAACTAAGCCCGGCCACATAGTTTTGTAGCGAAACACAGGTATCGAGCTAGTAGTACATAAATGGGGTTTATGCTGCCATTGATGAGCGATTTGTCTAAATGTCAAGCTTCTTAGCATTTTGGGATTTGCTTTGATCTAAAAAGTTAAGTTGCCTAATTGAAACTGTGGTTAAGTCTGGTTAAGTTCACTTAAGGAGTTTTCATCTGATCTTCTGACTTTGTGTTTGTGAATGTGGCCTGCAAGTCTTCTATCTATTAATTGTACATAGTGATTATTATAGTCCTTGCATGTTGTATTAAACCGATTTGAGGTGTTTAGGATTGCTTACCATATTAGAATGAATTTTGTTGGTTTATATGCTACAGTGAAGCCAGATGGCTATAGTATTCAGTAGGTTTACTCTGGAGATATTTTTGAGGAATGGGAGTATTATCATTTTTTCAGGTTGCAGTAAATTATTTGACATGGGTTGTACAGTAAGGCACCTTTTTGATTAAATTGTGTGGATATCTATTTTATTAGAAGTTGTTGTATAAGTGGTTTGTTTCTTTTGTTTGGTTTTCCAGGTTACCACGGAATATTTGTGCTCATCTGAATAATGTTCTTAAATAAGTGTTCTTGGATTGTTGCTTTGATAATGGAGCACTTTATTTGATGGTTGTTTTTTCGATAAATGTGGCTCTTTAATTTGCTATCCATTCTTCTGAAGATAAGAATAGCCAGGAAAAGAAGTGTGTTGTTTACTTTTCCTTTTTTTGTATTTTTCTCTTTAAAGATGTTGTCGATTATCTCATGAGTTTTCTCTAATAGTTCTTTTTTATTGTGACAAAGTTGTCAACTGCATATTCTTGGTGTATGTGTGGGAGTGCTAATTCTTACTAAATCATGTACTTGTGTTAATAAGGCAGTAAAACTCCTTATTGGTTAAGATATAGTGCTTGTTGTGTGATTCTTTGAGAAGAATGAAAAAATAGAGGCTTGTTCTGAAACACCCTGAGACCTTTTGAAATAGAAAATGCATTACAGATTGCAAGGAAAAGGAAGGATTTGTGATTATCATCTCTCTCTCTTCTCTTTTTTTTTGGTCAAAGAAGCCTGTGTGGAATAAAGGAGCTTTTCATAACAAAAAGATATAATCAGACCAAAAATAAGACTGTTCTGATTACTTTAATTTTTAATATGACATTTAGGCTCTGGAATATTGATTTATATTAACTGGATTTGTTGTACTCTTAATTTGGAGATGAAAGTCATAGGAATATCAACCTAACTTTCAAGCACTTCCTGTTAGTCAAGAATGCCTGTGTTCCTCTTGGCTATAGCCTTAGTATTTGCAGTTATCAAAACATTGAAACATGGAGGCATTCGTGGAATGTTTCGGGGGAATAAGGATCAACATTTTAAGACTAAATTAATATCTATTTTATATCAGTGTATTCTGCCATGTACTATTTTTTTTCTCATTTTAATTGTGCATTTTATACAGCATTTGTTACCAATTCTTAATTTAGATTATAAGGTTTGTCAATTTTGATAAAACAAGATTAATTTCATTCCGCTCACAAAAGCGAACATACATCCAGTTGAAAATTCTTTTTTTAAAAAAACATCATGCACTAGAATTATTTTTTCTGACTGTACTGTGAATTCATATTCAATCCACCTGTTATTCAATCCACCTGTTATCTGACTGCTTCTTCTTCTTGTGCCATATCTGTCATCAGACGTTGGCGATTATGTTGGCGATCCTATTTTTATCAACAGCCGCACAAAAATGTACTGCTTAGTTTTGTCCAAACCAATCCCTTAGGTTTTGAAGCCACAATGTTTTTCTGTCTGGGCCTGGTTTGCCTTCAATTTTCCCCTGGAAGATTAAGAAAAATATGCTGTATTTTTTTCAGGTGTCGCATCAAATGTCCAAAATATTCCGACATTCACTTTTTTATGGGTTTGATGTTTTCCCTTGGCCCTCCCAAGAGGCTTTACCATCTCCTCATTTCTCATTTTGCCAACCCAGTTTATACATAACAGCTGCCTGTAAATCCACATTTCAAATGCAACTACTTCTTACTCCATGGTAATGTTTTAGTTTTGAAGATAGCCTGTAAATAAATGACAAATTCTCTTTGCAGAGACAGAAGTCTATAAACAACGTTCTTGACTGATGTTATCATCTTCATTTAATAACTCCATAATCCCTTGCGGGGTAGAGCCTGGGCGACTGAATTAGCAGAGTGTTTTAATGGCTGGATGCTCTTCCTGTTGCCAATACGGAGTTTTGTTCACCAGATATATTCTCAGTGTGCCCAGAGAAAGAAATATCTGCATCTACCTAGGATCAAACTCACAGTCTCCTGATTGTGAGGCAAGAGCTCCACCTCTAGGTTACTGCACCTCTCCAACAATTTACATGGTCATAGTCTCAGTTATTCATGCAGGACTATTCTAATCTAATCTAAACATAAGACAACATAGATTTAGCATATAGTTTTTGCTACTTTTTTCTTTCCTGATGTCCAATCAATAAAACTATACAACCTAATGCTAACATGGACAAAAATACCTATATTTCCATACCATGAATGTGAAACTCAATTATATCTGAACTTTAAACGCAATTAAAAGATTTGAACTGAAAGGTAGAATGCTCAACTCAAAAGTTCACAATGGATTTTTTTTTTTTTCATCCAATGTATAACATATCCCTGTACCTTTTGGTACATAAGTTAGCATTCATGAGCTATTTTGTAACATTTAGAATTTTGAATCCTTTCTGTCTTGAATGAAAATTTACATATTCAATTAGGTCAAGGAATGGGCCACGTAAATCGGCAGTCTACCTACGGCTATATGAATACTGATTAACTTCCTTCTAGGAAGGAGCCAAGCCCAGCTTAATTAGTATGTAAGTCTCACTTGAGGCAGAGATTTCAGAGGCCACAGAATTAAATATATAAAAAAGCCAAAAACCTTAATCCTGCAGTTCCAAACAACATTAGGAGCACCGTTGGAGTTAAGGGGACAGCACTTCAATGCATGACAGAGAAGCAAAGTTTCTTGCTCTGAAATACTCAACAGACAGATATTTTTAATAGGGGAAATCTTAATAGAAGGTGGCCATTCTTTTGCACTTCCTTTCCACATAGATTGGGATTGCTTGAGATGGTAGTTTTGTTTTTTATTTTTTTAAATAGCTGTTTTGCTCGTTTTATTTTCAGCAGTTTTCACATTCTAAAAGTTGAGGTTTATTTGTAGCTTCTATAGATTTTGAGGAAGCTGAAACTGATTAGATTGGTTGCATGAATCATGATCTTATTCTTTTATGTACATACTGTTAGATCTGGGAAGATGGTTCAAGAACGGAGGCAAGACTCAGATAACAACAACAGCTCTTTATTAGTGACTTCAGATCTGAGCAAAGAATCCCAGCCGCAGCAGCCCCTTATATAGGGCTGGCTGCGGCTAGGCAGCCAATGAAAGCAATTTGAGTTTGCCGCTCTTGGCAGGGCCAATCGCGGCAGCCCGTTTACTAGCCAATTGGATCAGTCTGCGGTGACCAATCATGATCTGCTATTTGCAGGCCAATCAGAGTTGCAGACTTTCGAGCCTGCTAGTCCGAAACACATAGTACTTTTGTTCTATAATACTTCTTCTAACCTAGTACACATTGTATATGTTAGAAGAGTCCAGCAAGAAACTCTGTTTAAATACAGGTGCCTTCTACAAGTTTTAAAATAAAGGAAATAATCATTATTAATATAAACACATGCACTGGGCACAGGCTCCTCGGAGACTTCTTCATCACTGCCACCAGCCTCCACAATCTCCAAAGGCAAATTTCCACTCCCTGATGGTCCTGGCCCCATCCCTGCATCACACCCCTCATCTGAGTCCTCACTCTCCAAGATCTCAGCTGTCCGCACCTGCTGCCAGCGAACCACAACAGGCTGGGATAAAGGCTATGCCATGATGAAATGTCCTTTAAAATGGTTAGTAATGAATGTTTATGCCAGGGTAGTGGTATATGTGAATGAGCCCTTGGTTTGACAATATACCCCCTTGGCTTTTTTTTAAAAAAGACTAGGATTAAAGAATGTGTCTTTTACAAATTCTTAGACTTAGAATAACTTTATTGTCACTCTGAATGCACACTAATCGGCATGCGTTAAAATGAAATTTTGTAGCATACAACTCTCAAAGGGTCTCCACTTCAACTATACACTACATAAACATGACTAAATAAATAAATAAATATGAATATACCCACATATATTATATGACACGGAGAAACAACACAGTTTGGTTTGAGTGTATACATGTACATGTTGAGAGAGACAAATCTTGTGAGTTTACCAGATGGATGGCACAGGGAACAAAGCTGTTACAGAATCTGGTACTCCTGCTAGAAATACGTCAAAACCTCCTTCCCCAGAGGAGCAACAAAAGCAGACTGTGAAGTGGGTGTGAACCGCAATTCTTTGTGCTGCTGTGAACCCCACCATGCCAGCAGACTGTGTGACTGGAAATTTGCGTTAGGTTTATCTGTTGCTATATTAAACGAGCTTTCTGTATTTGAAAGGGTCTAAGTCTATTTCAAAATTCGAATTTCCATCTTGAATTCCCCCAAGGCAGCAGTAATATATATTACTTCAATTATCTGTGTTGTCTTTTTATGATTTTCTGAAAATAGCTATTACGTATTATCTATATTCATCCATTAACCAGTTATGTTAAATCCACAACTACAGTGAAACTCAAAAAATTAGAATATCGTGCAAAAGTTCATTTATTTCAGTAAGGCAATAGCCATGCTGATTCATCCTCATTGCATCAGCCTTACAACAGCTGGTCAGCTATTAAATCTCAATACCTTGACAGTATGCTACAGTTTTGAAGAATGTGGAGAGAGTTCATAGGCAAGTATTTTGCTTTTAAGGCAATCTTTTCCACCAAGCTTCAATATTTTATTTCAGTTACTTGTTTGTAGTTATTGCTTAGAATGAATGTTCTCTTCTCTTCCACTTTGGACACGGCATATATAGCCATGGTTGCAGCAGGGTTTTACTCAGGGGTGAGATTCAATTTTTTTAACCAGTTCTGTGGGCGTGGCTTAGTTGGAAGGTGTGGTTTGGTGGACATGTGATTGGGTGGGCATGGCCAACTCAACATCACTCATGTCAAGGGGCACTTCTCCTCGCCTGGCCTCTCATGAGAATGGGGATGCTGCAAAGGTCATAAGTGTGAAAAATGCTCATAAGTCACTTTTTGCAGTGCCATTGTAACTTTGAATGGCCACTAAATGAACTGTTGTAAGTCAAAGATTACCTGTACAAAAATACAAAAAGTTTCTTTTCTTGAAAAAAGCTGCCCTAACTATCAACAGCCAACTCCTGCTCATAAAGTGAAACCCTTTAGCAGAGAGGTCATTTAAGCTCTCCAAAAAGAGCACACCCAGGAGAAGCAATCCTTAGATCCATTTGCACCATTTAAAGATACCAGCTAGTCTCACTCACCGCACAAGATATCCTAAGGAAATCATCCAGATTTAAAGAAAGGTCACATGCCCCCCAGAAAGGCAGTAAAAAAATCAATGCCAAGCATGGATTCTGCCTCTTGGAAGTACATCCCAAAAGGACAGTGCCATATACCATTAAAGCAGTGAAGGAAGACACCCCCAGATAGAAAAAGAAACCACAAGGCAGGAAAAAAATCAAACACAATACAAATAATTAAATCACAACAGTAGCTGTTGCTTGTTGAAGCTGAATAGGGAAAATTATCCCATCAACAAACACAAGATTAAATGTCACTAAGCACAGAATTAACCTTCACCCAAAACCAGTTTTAGACCAAAACTCCAAAAGGGTATATAAACTCACGTTTGAATGTCAATCTTTCTAGCTAGCCAAGAAACCTTGCTGAATCTCACTCATCTTGGTTCCCTGTCATTAAAAGCTTCTTTCTGACAGCTCTGCTTCATTATTCAATTATTTCTTCAAAGTGCTTGTCCAGGGAATTATTTCCTCCCAACAGCAATGTAAAAATCTTAAAACAACCCTTCCCCTTTAAGAAAGTCAACCCCAGAAGCTCCAGAGACAGGAAGTCTAGGCATACTGGCAAGAATGTAATAAGGGTAGGAAAAAAAACAAAAGGAGATTGCTTCTAACTACCAGTTCTCCGAACTGCTTAGAAAGTTAACAAGAGGTTCTATGGAACTGGTCAGAACCAGTAGAATCCCACCCCTGGTTTTACCATTTTAAGAAGCTGTCTATATATATGAGGCCATGATAGGGCATACCTCTCTCTCCTTATGTTCTCTCTCCATTGTGGTTCTCCGTGCAGAGTAAAAAAGATTGATTGATTGCCTACCATGGGTGCTGTGTTGTGTACCTGGGTAGTCCCATAATAGTAGTCACGCTGCAAAAACTTGTACAAAGGGGAAAAAAATCAGTTTGCCCTAGTTTCACATTAATCTATATAAAGGAAGGAATATATGGATTTATCTATTCAATCATCTTATCATAAGAACATAAACATAGCTCTTGATGGATTAGGGCCAAGTCATTTTTAGTTTGTTATTTTGTTATCCACAGAAACTAACTAGCTGCCTTTGTAGTCCTCAAAAGCAAGAGATGGAGACGTATCACTTTCCCAGGTTTACCCGCAGATAACTCCTTAGGACACAAATGGGATAAAATGGCCCAAAATTTGATACAAATTGTAATTTGCTTTGTCCATGTAATAGTTAACTGTGGAGTGATGCAGTGGCCTCGAGGTGGAGCTCTCACCTCGCCTAGAGGAGGCCGTGAGTTCAATCCTAGGTAGGAGACTGAGAATATATATTCCGAACAAACCTCCTCATTGGTGACAGGAAGGGCAATCAGCCACTAAAACACTCGGCTAGGTCCATTCAGTTGCCCAGACTCCACCCCGCAAGGGATTATGGAGTTGTTAAAAGAAGATGATGATGGTGTAATAGTTAACTGTGAAAACTATATAATTTGTACCATTTGTGTAGTAGAATCATGATGCTATAAATTAATTGTTTCACACCAGACACTCTCCCTTCTAGAGTGGCTCTTTGCAATTGATATTTGGAAGCCTATTACTTCCACCGTGAAGGAAACATTGAGTATTCAAGATTATTGCTCTTGACAGATCTGTTCTTCATCATTTATACAACTCTTTTGAAAGCCACCACGAGCTCCAGTAAGTATGGCATGACTTCTAAACTGATTCAAGGAGAGATGCACTACAATGTAATGTAAGAATATTGTACTGTTCACCAGTCTAAATCTGCAGGGAATGGAATCTTTCCGGTAAAGTACAGAATTTGTGATATGCAAAATTCACATTATCTAGACCATTTTTCCTTGGGTTCCAACATTTCTCTTTGTGTCCTTTTTATAGAGACCAATTGTTTAGCATGACTATATTAGAAGACAAAAGCAACAAGACTGACCAAAAGGAGGTGGAATTTGTACAGAAATGGATAAAATCAACTTTAATGGACAATCAGGACATTGCCTTGAAAATCCTGGACTTTGAAAATCTGAAAAAGTAGGTACTGCTGTGAAACAGAAGGCTCACTGATCTAGGACATTTGAAATTTGGGGTATATAGGTGCTTGTAGTACAACAAGACCATGGCTAATGTAAATTTCACCAACTATGTTAGATGTGTCATATGGAGAATAAAGAACATATACAGTGGATACAATAGATACATGTTAACAAACACTGTTATGGCTCTCAGAAAAGAATGAATAAGTAAACACAAATGGCTAATTTATCATGAGATATTAGAATTTTGTTTAGGAGCATGTAAAATAAAGTGATGATGGAACTTGCAGAAATAGCTAAATATATTTCTTTGATCAGAGAAAATATAATACCAACATTTATTGCTGATTGGTGGGATTCCATTTTTTTTAACAACCGGTTCTGTGGGTGTGACTTAGTTGTTGGGCATGGCTTGGTGGTCATTTTATTGGCTGGGCATGGCCAACTCAACCTCACTCACATTGCGGCACGCATCTCCTCGCCTGGCCTCTCATTATTGTGGGGATACTGCAACAGTCGTAAGTGTGAAAAAGGGTCATAAGACACTTTTTTCAGTGCCATTGTAACTTTGAATGGTCACTCCACACAAGCAAAGTACCAGCAAAGGAGGGGAAAAAAACTCCAGAGAAGTTCCTGAGACAGGAAGTCTAGTCCTGCCAAGAATGTAATAAGGGTTAATGGAGAGGCAGTTTCTGTAAGAAAACACCAGAATGTTTCCTTCCTGCCTTCCTGACAGGATTAGGCCAGGAATTTCTTCTAACAACCAGTTCTCCAAACTGCTTAGAATGTTAACAACCGGTTCTAGCGAATAGGTGCAAACTGGTAGAATCCCAGCCCTGATTGGAACCCCTTTATTGACTTTCTGTATAAAACAGGAAGGCATGAAGGTATGATGTATGATTTTAATGATTAAACAAGACAGATTATAGAAAGAAGACATGTTTTAAATAAAAGTAAGATACACTGTAAATTTATAACTGCTATAAAAGGGTAGGAAGCTCCTTCTTCATATATTTTTTTCTTTTCTATTTCTTGAACTTTTAGTTTTCCATTTGATTTATTATCTTTTTCTTACTTTATATTAGTATGTATTAGTTTTGATCATATATATATGATCAAGTGGTCAATGCCTGGAATGCACTACCTGACTCTGTTGTTGCATACTCTAACCCCCATTCCTTTAACTTCCATTCCTTTAACTTCAAACTATCCACTATTAACCTCACCCCATTCCTAAGAGGTCTGTAAGGCCTCACATGCATAAGTGCACCATTGTGCCTACCGTCCCTGTCCTATTGTCCCCATTTATTCGTACCTATTTCCTGTATTCTTACTATGTTTATACTTATACCTATCATCTTGTAAGTGATTGACAAATCAAATCAAATCAAATAAATAAATAAGATATATATATATATAGAGAGAGAGAGAGAGAGAGAGAGAGATCATATACTTATATACAGAGAGAGAGTCTTTTATAAAGATTATTTTTAAAGGGGTCACTAGAACTTAATACAATACACTACTAAGAAGTTTACTCGTTCCTTGCTTCATTATAATCAGCAGCATGTACTTTGTAAACAATACTAAGTGGAAACTGACTTCCAATCACTCTGAAGTTTTTTCCTCTAAAAAAAAAATGGACTTGTCCTCTATTTTATAATTAGAAGCTTGGTTTTTATTTTCCAAGTTCCTTTGGATGGTATTTTGAAATAATGTTAAAAATGTGGATATACTATTTTTCTCATTTATTCTGTTCTACCTCTATTATTCTGCACCCTCTTTGGCTGGCCAAACTTCTCAAAGTGAACGCCCAGCAAAAAGAATTAGCAATAACGATAGACTTATATATAGCTTCATAGTGCTTTACAGCCTTCTCCAAGTAGTTTACGGAATCAGCATATTACCCCCAACAATCTGGATCATCATTTTACCAACCTCGGAAGGATAGAAGGCGGAGTCGATCTTGAGTCGGAGAGGACCAAACCTCTGGCAACCAGCATAATTAGCCTGCAATACTGCTTTCTAACTGGGACATGGTGGCTCAGGGGTTAAGAGGTTGAGCTTGTCAATCAGAAAGGTCGGCAGTTTGGCGGTTCGAATCCCTAGCGCCGCGTAACGGAGTGAGCTCCCATTACTTGTCCCAGCTTCTGCTAACCTAGCAGTTCGAAAGCAGGTAAAAATGCAAGTAGAAAAATAGAGACCACTTTGGTGGGAAGCTAATAGCGTTCCGTGTGCCTTCAGTGTTTAATCACGCTGGCCACATGACCACGGAGACGTCTTCAGACAGTGCTGGCTCTTCGGCTTTGTAACGGAGATGAGCACCACCCCCTAGAGCCAGAAACTACTAGCATGTATGTGCGAGGGGAACCTTCAACTTTTTACTGCTTTCTAGCCCCTGTGCCACTGTGGCTTTTAGCACCTTATGTCTTGCTTTGGGGTTTAATTGCACTAGGGAAACCAGACAGAATGTTGGAAAAAGGATTGCATAATGAAAGGCAGTACATTTGCACATTTATCACTATCATAATGTTGCTATTAAGAAAAAAAACCAACCGTATTATTCAGTTTTGAGAACTCTCCTTAGGAAAATAGCAGCAATTTCTTTGCCATTAGATTAAAGGTGAAGTGATCAGGGGGAAAAAAGGCAGAAGATACGTTCAGCATAGTGCTACTTATTGAATTCAAAATTGCAGGTATAGACTGATTTGCTCCCTCCCCTGATAGCATAGGGGGATATCTTGTTCTGCCAGTTTAAATCATAATTAATACTGACATATATATTTGTTTTTTGGTGTTCTCAATGGTCTAATACAGGGGTGTCAAACTCACGGTGTCATATCATCCTGTGACATATCCTAACTTTTTCCCCCTTCACTAAAATGGGGATAGGCGTGGCCAGCGTGTAACACATCTGGCCCACACACCGCAAGTTTGACACCCTGGTCTAATATATAAACATTAGTGTATTAATTTTAATCAACACTGTATAAATATTACTTTATTATCTTGAAGAAAGTTAGCACCTACACCCAGAAGAATGAAGTGTTATAGGAATTATTTAAAAAGCAGAATATTATATTTCCCTGGATCACAAAAGGAGAAACAGTTTTTTTTTAAGACAAAGAGTTTCTCCTTGCCCCTCAGGGATATCTGGTGCACATTAAGACTGGGCCAACTTATCTAGAACACAAAAGACCTCAGCGCCAGTGTGATGGCTTTAAGACATGATCCTCCAGGACATAATAGGATTATCTAGCTCACCACATGGCACCATCAAGCCCCTTCATTACATCACCCAGCAAGGTTCAACCAAACTCAATTCAGACAAACATGACTCCACATGGGAGTCTGCAACCAATAGGATACATGCCCTTGCTACAAGAACAGGAAGCTAAAGTTCAGAGCCCAAGAGAGAGTATAAATAACACTCCAGCTGCCCAGGACCTAAAACCCATGTGGTCCTGTTCACCATTTAACCAACCTTCCAAGCAGCTTCCATGTATCCAGTGTCTTTCTCTCCACTTGGAACTGACATTTCTTCCAACACACTTCATTATATATTTTATAACAATGTAATAAAAAGATTAGACTATTTTTTTTAAAAAGGTACCTCAGAACTTTTGCAGACACGGCACTTTTCTGTTATTTATAAAAAGACTTTTTTTTTTCAGAATTATGCAGAAGCCCGAAGAATAGACGCTGCCTATTGTTAAGTCTTAAATGCAAACTCCTTAAAACAACAGTATTCTTTGTTATCAGTCTCAAACAGAAGCCTAAATCATGAGAGGCAAGGCTGCTTTCGGAACAATTTTGCTTAAGCATGCCTTAAGTACACATATATACATACATGAGTATAAGGCTCTACTTACTTGCATATCTATATCATTTAAATCTCTCTCTCTCTCTCTCTCTCTCTCTCACACACACACACACACACACACACACACGAAATGCCACCTGCATAAAGAATTATGCCAACCTCAACTGCCACGGGGATGATCCCCATCGAATCCGTGACTCACAATGATTTATTTTTAAGAATACATTTTTAAAGTAGGAAGAAAATGAAATGAAAGTGTCTTTTTCTAAGTAAGCCCATCAGTCCATTTATACAATGTACAAATATATTTCACTAGTAAGTCTGGAATCCAAGAAGAAGGCAGATCTCAGGAACAAACTACAGATTACAACTGCTAGTCAGATGTCATTTAATGACCCAGTGAACATCCTCTTAAAAATTGAAAGTCTTAACTGGTGCAGAAATTCTTTATTACCCACATTTGAACCATCCATGGAGTTCATCCATAGATTTACATTATTAGGTTATCAGCTAATCATGGCCATTAGCTCCTCTACTGCTCTATAATCATCCTAATGTTTGCTTGCCTTGTAATAAAGATTAAGTGACAGCAAAATTAATGCTAAGCTGCAAAGTCAGCAGAGTTGCATTTTTAAAGGAGATAAAAAAATTATTCGTCTAACCTATGATTACACTAGATAGTCCTTGTTCTGATAAGGAAATAAGAACTTTCTCTGTTTAATTTAGAAAGGGCAATGTCTCTGTTTTGTTCATTACATAGCAATAGCACTCAGACTTATATACCACCTATACTACATACAGTATATACCTATAATGGTTTACAGCCCTCTCTAAGTGGTTTACAAAGTCAGCATATTGCCACTTAACGATCTGGGTCTTCATTTTACTGACCACAGAAAGATGGAAGGCTGAGTCAACCTTGAGCCATCAGGATCAAACTGTTAGCCTGAAATACTGCATTCTAATCATTGCAGTACATATCCTTAACTATGAAATATGAAATCTTGGTAACCCAACAAAACATTTTTTTTAAAAAATCAGAGGTGGTATTCAGCAGATTCCAAACAGTTCTGGAGAACCGGTAGCAGAAATTTTGAGTAGTTTGGAGAACCGGCAAATCCCATTTCTGGCTAGCCCCGCCCCCATCTATCTCTGCTTCCCGAGTCCCAGCTGATTGGCTGGATCTTCTTTGGTTGCCCTGCACAGGAGAACGGAGCTGGAAAGCAGGTTAGTGAGGTAGGGAGGGAATGGAGATTTTACAGTATCCTTCCCCTGCCACACCCACCAAGCCACACCCACAGAACAAGTAGTAAAAAATTTTTGAATCGCGCCACTGAAAAAAAAAATCATCTTTTACTACTACTTCCACAATGGTAGGGTCAGAGAACATACACAATTTAACTTTCCAACTTTCCACTGCAGAAAAAGAGGGAGAAGTAGTAAGATAAGGCATGATAAGAGAAAAAGAAATAGAAATACAGCTAAAGTTAATTTACTTCAACAACATTCATTGAACTTCTCCGTTCCTTTCTGTTTTTGGAAACATAAATTTATTGCTGTCATGTCAACATATTGCTTCAAACATTGTATTTTGTTCTTTAAACCTGTTTTCTTCAAGGATTTTATCGGTTCCATCAAACCACAATGTCCTTGCATTTCTCTGTTATCTCAACTCCTTCATTCTTCTTTTCTATACAGTCCTACCTTTTAATCCTCTCAGAGAAAACAGCGGCAATGCATCTCTTCCATTCAGTGCATTCGTATCCATTTATTTTTGACCCTATCTCTTCTTGTTTTATACACCTTTAAGTCAGTACTTAAACCTGTTGTCCGCAAGCCCCTGGGAGGCTGTGATCTCATCACAGGGGATCCATGAAGTCTTGAAGCAATGTTGTGATTTAAATCTTGAATTAAGTCTTGGGAGTCCATAACCATGATCCATGGCCACAAAACATATTTAAAGGGGGGACTGCGGTGAAAAAAACATTGAGAACCACTGCCTTAAGAACCATAGTGGCTCAGTGGTTAGAATGCAGTTGTACTTCTGCTGACTGCCAGCTGCCGGCAGTTCGAGTCTCACTGGTTCAAGTCTGACTCAGCTTTCCCTCCTTCCGAGGTGAGTAAAATGAGGACCCAGTTTGTTGGGTGCAATAGGCTGGCTTTTGTAAACCACTTAGAGATGGCTATAAAGCACCATGAAGCGGTATATAAGTCTAAGTGCTATTGCTAAATGCTATTTAAGTAATCCATTTGCACCAAACAACTGTTTCTTCTGACATAACCACTTACATAATATAAAGAATACAGAAACATACTCTTTCACGGAACTGTTTTCACTTGTTTTAACAGACATTTATTGTTCATTGCAGGCCAAAGATTACTCACTACTTTTCTACCAGCATTCAGAAATTGTACAGGTTTGGCATTAGTTTCCATTTGTTAGTAAAAAAAAAATTATCAAGGTACAAAAAGGATCTATTTTACTCTATTTTTTTTTACTATTTATAGTTTGTAACCTTTTATTATCAATAATTTCCCTATCAAAAAGACCATAATTACAATAGCTCATTATGACTTCTACTGTTACTACTATTGTTCATCATGTAGTAGAGCCAGATGTTTAGTCTGAATTTGGCATTTTTATCCACCTATCTCATCTTTTCCAAGAATCTGGAATTGCCAGATGTTGTTGTTTGATGGTGCTAAAGGTATCATTGCAGCGAGTCAGCTGTTCCAAGTAAAAACTGCCTCTTACAATTAACTACCCTGTTTCTCCAACAATATGGCTTCCCCAATAGGAAGTCCCAGCATGTTTTATAGGCATGAAATGAAATTAAGCCCCTCCCCCCAAATTAAGGCCTATATTAAAACATGCAAAATGGGGGGAATGGTGGGGGGGCTTGTCATTAGGAAGTACTTTTGTTGCACACCCGGATATGGTGCTGCCTGCGTTGACCCCGATACGAAGTGCCCCACCAACGCCGAGGTCAACACCCAAGCTGTCGCCACCCACACGCCCAAAGATGCAAGGGGGGGGGGCGGAATTAAGTCACCCCCGAAAAGACAGCCTAGCCATTTTTTCGGGGCTCAAAAAAAAAAAAAAAAAAATAAGACCCGGCCTTATTGTATGAGAAACACAGTAGTAGTGATTTTGCTCAAGTGGTCATCCCAAATGTTTTGGGATTTAAAGTAGACTACATGTTATTTCAGATTATTCAGAATGCCTGATGAAATTATCTAGTTGATATTTCAAATGTTTATCTTCACACTTCTAAACTGCTAATATACTGGCATTTGGATGTAAGTGTGATGTATGAGTAAAATTTCGAGCTAAGTCTTATATTCAGCTTTACATCTATACTCAGTTGTGATATAATTATTCTCAAAATGATCAAACAGATCAGCTCTTTGTTATTCTGGCTGACTCCCAAACATATTTTCAACATAATCTAAGGATAAGGGTCTCTGCTTTCACCGATATATCCTTAAAGTTCTGAAATATTAGAAATATCAAACTTCAATGGGATATTAATGTGAGAAATGAGTTATGAAGTTACCCGTAAAGAAAAATATCACCTGTCTTCCTGCCAAGCAAATCCAGAAAACTTTTCATAATATGCAACAGCTGTTTGAACAGATGACCATGAAATATGTCTCTGTAGGTAAAAGAAAGCCAACAAGCCAAATCTGTCCATGGCAAACTGAGTAAAAATTAAAATAGAAAATTAAAATAACAGAAGGTAGAAGGAGAAAGCAGAAGTCCAGGAAGCCTTCTGGCTATCAGCTTGTTTAATGAGAAATTAACCATTTAAATGGAAAAGATTTACCTTTGGGGATTAATATACTTTTATTGTTTGTGTCAGTAATAGATCACTGAATAGGTGAAAATACTATGCTTCTCACTAGAAATGCAAAAGATGAGTTTGTAATCTTAGCCTGCTTCAAACTGTTTTCAAGGGATTCATTTGCATCAGTATTGCTTCTAGTTTCTTCAAAGAAGAAGAATGAACATGCCATTATTTAACTGGAAGAATAATAACATTTCATAAAATACAACTGTCTTTAGAAGATTGTGGACCTTAATTATGCTTTGCCACAACCTTATGAACATCTACCGTGTTTCTCATATAATAAGGCCGGGTCTTATTTTTTTTTTTTAGCCCCCCAAAAATGGCTAGGCCGTCTTTTGGGGGGTGACTTAATCCCCCCCTTGCATCTTCGGGCAGGCGGGCAGCGACGGCTTGGATGTTGACCTCGGCGTTGGTGAGGCACTTTGTATCAGGGTCAACGCAGGCAGCACCATATCCTGGTGTGCAACGAAAGTACTTCCTAACAGCAAGCCCCCCCCCCGCCATCCCCCCCCCCATTTCACATGTTTTAATATAGGCCTTAATTTGTGGGGAGGGGCTTAATTTCATTTCATGCCTATAAAACATGCTGGGACTTCCTATTGGGGGAGGCCGTATTGTTGGAGAAACAGGGTACTTAGAAATAAGTTGGATGAAATACAGTTACATTATTCTCAGGATCCTGAATAGTAGATTGGAATTAAGCCCATTATGGGTCACAAATCATCACCAGGCAGGAACCCTTTTATTTCAGAGGGAAGAACTTTCTGCTTTACCTCTTGACCTTGGAGATTTGCTGACAAATAGGTCAGCTAGCAAAATCAATGTACTGGTAACAATACATTGGCAAAGGAACTGTACAGGGAAATAAG